TTTGGCACAATTACTTCCAGTATCTGGTTTCTTTATTTACCAATCATCAATTTGGAAACTTTTTTACCTGTTATTTCTCCGTGAACCTCAAAGACAAAATTAGGACATAGAATTTTTTCAACCTACTACAGAAAATCCGCATGGGTAAAATTGACAATGAAACATGGCATCTACTAACTCAGAAAAAAACAGTACTCTCCAATTATCTGAATTAAACACCACTTTAAACACCACACACATAGTAGGATACAGAGAAAATGCAGACCTAATTAATAGACTAATATGCACTATGATTTCCACACAAAAAAACAAATTCATAATCTCAAATTGTATTAACATTGTTAACAATCAAATATGCAATTATAACTCAAGACTTAACGATTTTAAAAACAAACCAAATTTACCTGAATCAATTAGAATCCAACCAGGTGCAAGAGTTATGTTTCTCAATAACTCCCAACACCAATATCGAATAGCAAATGGCACCATAGGTGTCATTACAGATCTCGACCTAGACTCAGACCTTGTATATGTTAGCTTCTGTGTAGAAGGAGCCATAATAAATGTTTCATTTTCTAAATTTACCTGTAATTTTAACATAAATAGCATACCTGCTAGCCATACCCAATTCCCAATACAAAATGCATTTGCCTTAACCGTCCATAAAACACAGGGCTCACACTTCCTGATGTATCATTAAATCTAGATAATCAAATATTTGCTCCTGGACAAGCTTATGTAGTACTAAGTCATTGCACTAAATGGGACCAAGTAAAAATACAATCATTAGATTATACCGCATTTATAACAGACCAATCCATAATAAAAGAATATGAACGTTTAGAACAAAAAGCTCGTGAACCATTACCATAAATAGACCAAGATCAAATTTTTATTAGCAAAAAAAAAATTTAACTACCTAAATACATATGTATAAACATTTCACTTTCATTTCATATATAATAAAAAAATAAAGACAATTACTTCATAAAAATAAAATTAATAAAATTTCAACTTTATATATATCTTAAAAAAATAAACATTGTATTAACGTCATAATTACAACCTTTATCTGATATGTAATATATAATAAAGATAATCTCTACATCTACAAATTTAACCACTTAAGTCAGGCGGCACAGCTGCCTGCATGTGCAACTCTAGTTCATATATGATAATTTTCTTCGAAGCAAAATAACCCACATTGTAAAAGAATCCAACTATTAATTCACATACTTAAAGCAATCAAACAATTGTAAAACTTTATTTAAAAGGTTTGGCAGCAAGTTATGCATCTTTAATAGTTTTTCTTAAAACCTCACATAATTAATAAAACTATACTATTGTATATTAAATAACTTTTATTGCGTTAAATATCTTTTAAGAAGTATCATAACTTTAAGAAGTGTCTACAAAATTCGAAAATAAAAACTAACAAGTTAATATTATAACTAAAAATAAAAATAAAAATAAAAATAATGACGTTGAACTTTGTGAATTGAGCAGTACAATATGCTTTTATTACCTCTTACTATACGGTAGATAGTACTTCAACCTTTACCATAACTACCATGATGCAAATGATGCAACTTCAGTTTATTGAAAAGACGTTCTCTACGAAGCTATTTTATTAGTAAAGTATTACATGATTGATTTTTTTTTTTTAGATTTGCTTATACCCGAAAATTCTGGTTTTAGACTACTTTCCTGTATAAATACTTGTGTAATGTCGATCCCGGAAATCATCGGATTCGAATATCTCCCATGCTTTGAAATGGGTTGTTGATACTTATATAATAAACACCATTCAGCAAGCGCAAATTAATATTCAAGCTGCAATTGATAATGTTGATAGTGTTTTATTGTTTTATAATGAATATGGGGTCGATTGGATAAAAAATGGTAATGCATATGTTTTGATATGTTCCTTCAAAGAAAAATGTATATATAACTACTTTTATAATTATAGCTAAGGTTAGCCCTGATGCATTTGTTCAGATAGCAATTCAACTTGCATATTATAAATGTTATAGTGAGTCATGTTCGACCTATGAAACTGCTTCTACTAGAGGTTTTCTACATGGTCGTCTTGAAACTCTGAGAACTTGCTCTGTAGACACCACTGCATTTACCAAAGCTTTTTGTGATCCAAACATAGAAGTACGATTTTGTTGCTTCATTGACTTTAAATTATATGAATATGGCACTTAATTAATATTATATTTTTTCTATTAATAGCAAGATGAAATAATTTCTCTACTTATGAAGGCTATTAAATCACACACTAAATATATAATTTCTGCTATTAATGGTACTTACTTGGATGCATTTTTAAATATTCGATCTTCTGGTGATTTATCTGTATATTTTCATTTATTAGGTCGTGGAGTAGATTGTCACCTTTTAGGCCTTCAATCCCAAATCCGTGATGGAGAAAAATCTAGAGCAACATTATTTACTGATCCTTCGTATGCTCAAGCAATGCACTTTAAACTTCGTACTTCAAATTTGAGCCCTGGGTTGGGTTTTCATACTGGAATGGAAACTATAGTTCCTGATGCGTATGCAATTGCTTATATTATCGAAAATGATAAATTGAAAATCGGTATTAGTAGTAATAAAAAATGCAAAGAAACTGATAGTATCATTTTTAGAAAAGCTTTAAAAGAATCATTAGATGATCTTAGAAAAATTTTATCATAATATACTAGATTATCAGTTATAGATATTATATAGTTATTGCATACGAAGTATGCAATAACTGCTGTATTTTATGGACGATGATGATTGGTTGGTAACC